CTCCTTCGAGAGCTGTTTTCCTAAAATATTTCAGTGTTGATCCCCAGCTATTTTGGCAGAAGAGCTGTTCAAGAAAACCCATTTTTAACCTCTTCCAAAAACAGCTGAGGCTGAGCTTGGCTTTAGCTCCCGGAAGAGAACGATTTACCCTTTCTGGGAATCAACCAGACAAGAGAAGATTTTGAAAACTTAGGTTGGCAAAGCTCAGGCTGCTTTTAGAGTAGGTATTTCTCATGCTCCAGCTGGAGTAATTGGGTGTATAAAAGAAGATTGTTTAGATGGAAAATGACTGAAGGCTTTGAAAGTGCTCTGGAAAAAAGCCTTCTAATTGGTCACCGTAGATTTCATACTTTCCAGGACCACGCAAGTAATTTTTAAGATTGTTTTTTTTCATTTTTATTGTCATTTCGTTTGCCATCATCCTCATCTGCCATCATCAAACACTCGCCCTGAGCTTCGGAAGGCAGGAATAAGGAGGGCTCATGGCAGAACAGCTTCTGTGTCTGTGCCTTCCCTTGGGTTTTTTGGCCTCCGCTGCACGTTTGTTGTTTTTTCCTCGAATCTGTAACGCCCATTCGTGTCGTACACAGTGTCCTGCCGCGGCGTAGCAAACGTGGCCTGACACGTTTGGCCTCGGGCAGCCCTGACCTCAGGGATGGCAGCTGTGCTGTTATTCCCCATCAACAATGCAGCTTGTTTTGCTGGGACCGAAGAATCGGTCAGTGATGAGCAGGGGTCTGACAAAACCTTTTGTTTCTCGCAGTTTTTGTTTTTATGCTTGGAGAAAGGGAGAGTTTTATTTCACTTGGGCTAAAGTATGCCAGACTTTCGAAAGGGCTTCTCAAAATATTTAGATATTGGTGTTTATCTGCACCAGGTTACAGGCTGAGGGCGAGCCTACTTTTGAACTTGCCTTTACAATTTATTTAAACTTGTTCCAAGTGTGCTGCAAGTTTTTGTATTTTTAATGTGAGTTAATCTTGCCAAAATACCTGTTAACTTCTGTTTAAAAAACCCCTGTCGCTGTTATTTCAGATGTGCTCGTGGTTGTTTGATGGGCCAGTTTCCTTTTCCTGGAGCTTTGTGTACTTGGAGTAATTAGTTTTTGATTTAGAGGCAACTTTCCCGTTGCTCTGTGTCGGAAATCCCTTGATTGTGTCTTACGGAGCAGCTCTTATTTTAGGGTCGTTCCAACCGTGATGTGTGGGGTAAATCCACCAAGACGAATGTTTCTGTGAAAGTGCTGTAAGATTTTGGATGTTATTTTAAGCAGGCGATGTAACTGGAGCTGACAACCACCAGTGCAACTCCAGGGCTGCGTTCAGGTTTTGCTTCCGTGCAAAGTGCAATTCCACCGGAGAATAGAACTGTGGTTGTGGAGAGGGAGGGGATTTGGAGGTGAAAAAGAAAAACTGGAGGTCCTGCAGTTCATCATTCCAGACTTGAAATGAGACATATGTTTTATTTCCTATTCCAGTAAAACCTGTTTCAGTTGTGCAGCTGAGCTGGCTGTTCTCTTGCCTACGTAGAGCTGCTGGGTTTGGTCTGCGGGGTGAGCGATTCCACGTTAATTAAAAGTACTTGTATGGTTTTAGTTTCTCTGTGTGATAATGAAAGTCTGCTCTGTTAATCAGTACGACTAATTTGTTTTCCTCACTGTTTAGCTCACGTTCATTTGTAACTAGAAGGTGATTTTTCTTTTCCTGAACCCAGTTGCAGCTGAATTAAAACATGACTCAAAGTCTCCATTCCAGCATTCACAGCGGCTTTTCCTCTGGAGTTAATTAGAATTAGCGAGGCTTTTCCCTGCTGAATGCTGCGTGTTGATCAGCACTTAGCTTCAAGAAGGCTTTTTAGCAAAGGTGCACGTTCTCGTGTGGTGAAGCGTTTGGTTGGTGATGACTGGATTTAGCCACAGATGCTGCTTAAACTGAATTCCCCCCAATATTTATTTGTTTTCCTCCTGTATTCAGACTCTGAGCTTGACTTGCCCTGCCCTGCTGCTGTGTAGCTTCATCCCTCTTGGGATGCCCCTTCTATTCCCGTGTATTTGTCAGCATCTGGGTGGTGGCTTTGCTGTCTTTTGTGGCCGCTCCCTGGGTCGGAGCGGTGCTGTGGGCCTTGGGGTGCCCGCCCCAGTATGAGCTCACAAGCTCAGGATGGGCAAATTAAGCAGCTGAAAAAGCCAAGTCCTGTTCTCATCTCTCCTACCTGTCCCTGAATGATGTGCCACTAATGGTTCTTGTGCTGATGTTTTTTCAGACGGTGCTATGAGCTGATTTAACCCGTTGGAATGCTTTTCTGCCATTTTAGGGGGAAAAATAAAATAATCAACTGCTCTGCAAGCCGGATAGCCTCACCAGCGGTTCAGAGTGGTGTAGGGGTATAAAGGAGAGGAGGAAAACGTGTGGCTGGAGTTGGAAGAGGCTCCTTTCCCCTCTATTCCATGTGGTAATGAACTGAGCCGCCTGTAAAACGATGCCCTGTGTGACCAAACTCAACCCTTCAGCGCGTGGGGTAGTTGTCATGAGGCTTTTTTTTTTTTTTTTTTTTTTTTTTTTTTTTGCTTAGTCATGTGTGAGGTGGTTACTGTAGACTAAGGATTAACCAAACACAACGGTTTGCCAAATAGCTTCCAAGTGCTGTGTCAGGCTTTAGGGTCAGGGGAAGATGCAGAGTCAGGCCCGGCAGCGGGAGGAAGATCAAGTGACGGCTCACGCGGTGCCGCTGCTCTCCCCACCGGGAGCTGTCGGAGCATCGGCAGCAGTTGTGGTGTGGAAACGCCGGCAGCTTGACTCAGCAGTTCAAATAAATTGTGCCAAGTCATCTGAAAGCGCTTGGGTGGGGAAGCAGCTTGTTTTGCTAACTGAAAAACAGAAGTTCCCCGTGTTTTTTTTTGTTTTTTTTTAAAAAAACGTGGGTTGAGGTTGCTGGAGCACATGCTTGAAGGTAATATGAAGTCGAGGAAGGGGTTGTTGAGCAAGCTGAGCGATGGGCTTTGCCACCAAATCCCTTGGCAGGCTTTTTGAAACGCGCTGCCGACGCAGTTACAGCCTCGGCGGCTGCGGGGTGTCTCCTGCCAGCTTTGTGATCTCTGGCGTACGTGCGTGGCGGTAGCCTGGGTGGAATCAGTCATGGAAAAGCAGTGTCTGTGGGTGACTTGAGGAGAGTCTCGGAATGAAAATCCTGACTGCTCGGAGCCCGAAAACATCCTTGGGGACTGCTGGGGTACAGCAGGTCTGACCAGGCAGGGTAATGGATGGATTCTGCCTTTCCTGTTCGTGGTGGTAAAATGTGTGTGAGCCCCTGGATATCAGCCTGTCAGATATGTCTGTTCTGGATATCAGCCCTTTACTCCTGGGTTTTTAGTTCACCCTGAGTGCTTTTGCTTTTGATGAGGTCTTTCTTTTGAAGGTTGTCCTTCCACCCACCTCTTCTGTGAGCCACCGTGGAGGGTATTTTAGCTTCCTTTGCCCCATCCCAAGACATCAAAGAGGCAAAAACCATTGCTGGGCTTCTCCCGTCTAACCTGGAACTGACTTTGTGTATATTCAGCCTCATTTGTTGTGCAGCTGCAGCTCATCCGCTGGCCCTGTGGCCGGTGAGGTCAGAAAACCTGCTGGAGAGGAGCTGAAAAGCAAGTCCAGCGCGTTTGTACAGCGGCTCCCGGCTCTGCCCATCGATCGCTTTTGACGCAGCTGTTAGCCCCTGTGCTGTTATATGTTCTTTAAGCCTTGGGAAGCTTTGTGTATAATGACCGTATCCAGTAACAAATGAGCTCTGGCAAGACTTGTGGCTGTTCTCCGTATTAAAATGTTTATCTTGTAGTGGGCAAGGCTGGTTTTCGCTTCCTTTGATGTTGAGAAGTAGCCGTAGAGGGAGGTCTGTGTTATTGCAGGATACCATATAAAGCAGCCTGGTATTTTAGTGGTGGTGTCATTTTTTTTTTTTTTTTAATTTTATTTTATTATTATTATATTGTTTCCCCTGCTGCCCTTAAAATAAAATCTGGAAAGGAGGTGGCAGCGGAGGAGAAATACAAGCCAGTTAGTTGCACCACTGGAGGTTCCAATTTCAGAAAGGCCGCCGAGGTCTTTGCCAAAATGAGTCAAATGTTTTAAGTCCGTAAAGTGGCTCTAACTATAGGTTGAGTTAGCGGCTTAAGGAGGTTTAGTCAGACTCTTCAGCCCTGCGACCTAAAGAGAGGAGCAGCTTGCTATAATTGGAGTTGGGATGGTGTAACGGGGAATGCCAGCCAGCCTTGGTAAAAACTGTGCCAGGCTTTAAGCGTGTGAATGGAGAGTTCTTATATCGAGGGTCCCTTCTGGTTCTTGTGGTGGAAAGTTGGTTGTTTTTTTTTTTTTCTTTTTAGAAGAAGATCAGGAAGGGATGTGTCGTTTTTGCCCTGTGTCAAAAAATATTTGCAGCTGTTATTTGGATGCTTTCCTCCCTTTTTCTAACTGTCGTTTCCTCCCTTTTGACAAGAAGTTGAAACTTGGTTATGGACGAGTCACCTAAGCTTAGGGAAATGCCTTTTGCTGCTCTATGAAAGCCATCGTGAATTTGGCTGTTCTTAAAAAAAAAAATATATATATATATAAACTGTATGCGCTCAAATATTTGTTTGGTTATGTAATCCAGGAGGTTTGGGCCAGACCCAAAGGTACAGAGTTAGATTTAGGCCACCTTAAACACAGCGAGCGTTCTCTGCCCTAAGTGGGAACTGCAAATCATCTGGGAGCTGAACTTCGACCCCCCTTGACTTGAAACACGTGAAGCGTTTGGAGGGGATTTGTGTAAATCCACTCTTTATGAAGTTAACCCGGGGATACGTTGGAGCTCAAAGATGTGATGTGAGACGCCGGGACCCGGCCGGGTCCTGTATCTCCTTGATTTAGGGCTCTGAATTCAGCGGTCGTGCCGCGGTGCCCTCCGTCATCGCTGCCGTTTGTGAAAGGGGCCGCCCGGCCTTCGGGAGGAACCTGGAGGGAGAGTTAAATAAATCTGCGCTGAGAATGTCTGAAACGGGTCTATCCCAAACGGGACAGCGAACAAGCTGTCGGGGGAATCCGTCCAGTGAGCAAAATCCCTCCGGTGCCAGCGGGACGCGGGGTCTGTCTCGCTGCGGGGCGGGGGGGCCGGGGTGGTGGTGGGGGCAGTGCTGGCCCAGGCAGCCCTTTGTCCTGCTCTTTCCCCTCTCGGGGCGGGGTGGGGGGACACGGCCACGTTAGTGCTGCTCGGTGGTGGTGGGGGTTAATGAGATGTGTGTTAATTAGGGAGCTTTCTGCGCCGCCGTGACGCCGGTACTGACTGCCCTTGCTGTCTGATCGAGCAGGTGTTCTGGCGCTCTGGGCCCTAATCACGCATGTGATGTATGTGCAGGATTACTGGAGGACCTGGTTAAAAGGGCTGAGGTTCTTCCTCTTCATCGGGATCCTCTTCTCAGCTCTCTCCGTGGTGGGATTCTGCATATTCCTTGTTCTGGCCATCACCAAGCACCAGTGTAAGTAAGCGGGAGAAGTGACTAGCGATGCTGGGATTACTGGGATTGAAGGGATGGAAGAGCCTGCAGAGCAGAGCCGGGGTCTGAACCTATAGGAACCGGAATTTACTTATTTCTGTGATGAATAAAGGGAGTGCTCTTAAACATTGTCTCTGCAGCACTCATAAAGCAGGTGGGCGAGGATATTAAAAGCCAAACACGAGTCAGCAGGGTGACAATGCCTTCCCCACTTAGTCAGCATATAAAGCTGTGTTGCTATAAAATATTTAACATTGTCTGAGGAGGGTTCACGTAATTACTCCCGGTATTTGCTTGGCAATAAACCAAAGAGAAAGTTTGGGGTTTGTTGGTTTTTGTTTTTTTTTTTTAGTTGCTCGCTGCATTTGGGCTGATGGCTGCTAAGAGTCCTGTTGTTGTTGTTGTACTCACGGTGGTGGACACGCTGTGCTGGGGTCATAACCCAAACCCCTCAGCTGAGCCTAAATATTCTCCCTGTGGAGATTCAAGTGCTTCGGCCACCTGGAAGGGTGTGAAAATACTTGTACTCAATCATTAGAAATACAAATTAAAAAAAAAAAACCAAATATTTTTCGAACCCCCTCTCTTGGAGACATGAGGAAAAACTGTTTGGGGGAATATTTGGGTTTTTTTAGGGAAATGGAGGTATTTTAGGGAAAGCCCTAATTTTGAGGGCGGGGGAAAGTAGAACATCTGCATAACTTATTTAAGTATGGAAAGTTTAGGACTGGTGCATCTAATACGTGGAGCTTACTGAGTAAGTACTGTTTTGTGCATTCTTCAAAAAAAAAATGATCGTGTTTATTTTTTAACAGCGACCGAACTTCTGTACTTAGAAGTGGAATTGTTTTGCGCATTAGGTTATGTAATAAGCGTCTTACAAAGTTGTTGACATCTCTAGAACAAACGAACAAACAAAAAAAAAACCCCTATAAATGTTGAAAATAAATATGAAGCCTGCTGACATGCACTCAAAAAGCAGAACCGTACCCAGATGTCCTCAAAGGAATCCCTGAGTCAAGGCAGTTTTATGTAGATAAAGAAGAAGTGTGTTCGTTTGCAAAGAGTCTCTAAAAAGAATCTAAAAAGAAAAGGTGTGAGGATCACAGCACTGCGTTGAGGACCTGCAGTACAGATTGAAGTTGGCCAGTTTTAGGTTATTAAATGTTGGCCACAACGATTGGTAAAAGCGTTTTTAGAAGGCAGATATATTTTATTTCCTGTTTCCCCACCACCACCACCAGAGATGTGGAGATTTCCTCTTTCCCTGCTGTGGTGGGGTAGAAGGGAGCAGCAGGGTGAGAGAAATTCAGAACCGCAGGTTGGGTTTTTCTTGAGCCACGTGTTTCTGCCAGCCAGGAATTCACCCAGCTCCATCCTTTGGGCCCTAAGCAAGGAGGGTTTGGGGTGGCTGATTGGGTGACCTTAGGATCTGCCTCTTGAGATAACGATCCTTCCTCAGACCGTGGCCAGAACGCTCTCCTCTGGCAGAGGAAGTTTTACAGTCTGAGAGCTGGGAAGAAGAACACTCTCCTCTGGCTGAGCCTTGCCCACAGCACAAGATGTGGGTTGAGGAGCTCCCAGGAACCGGGGGGCTGAGTTGGGTTCTTCCCGGGCAGTCCGCCTGAGGGATAAATAGGATTTTTCAACCGTGTCTCTATCCTTTTCTCTCCTAGCCCTGACTGATCCCAGAAGCTACTACCTGTCGTGTGTTTGGAGTTTCATCTCCTTGAAATGGGCCTTCCTGCTCAGTTTGTACGCTTACCGCTACAGGAACGAGTTTGCAGACATCAGTATCCTCAGTGACTTCTAACGCTCGGACTTCCACCCTCCCTGAAGGTGCTGGCTCTTTGACTTGCCCCCCGACCCCCGAGGCACGGCACACGCGAGAGGTGTCCGAGAGGTGGAGAAGGATCCCACGCAGCGCTGCTTGGTTTGTCTGTCCGCAGTAGGGGTTTTTTTTCCTAATTGCTTTTACTCAACCGTTTAAAGTCTGGCTAACGATGTCGATCTAGTCTCTCTCTGTAACTGCCCCTGGGAGTCCCTGTGTCTGGTAGCGAGGTGACAGATTTTTCTTGCCCTGAAGCCTGGGAGAGTTTTCCAGCGGGGAGGAGGTCCTGGGGGCCTGCTGGGTTCATTCCTCATGGCTGCAGCACCCCAACATCTTGTCCTCGTGAGTGCTGCACGTGGGCACCCCAGATGTGTGTAGAGAAGGACCCTGCTGTGTGAAAGTTGGCTCCTTTTGTGCTGCTCTGCTCCGCAAAAGGGGAAGGGAGAGATGAGCCCTTCTTTGTGGCAGAAGTCCCTACCTCCCTTCCAGCCAGTACCCCGCAGCTTCCAGTATTTTCTTTTTACACATTGTACACGAGGTCAGCTCTCCCCTGTGGTCTGGGCGAGCCCGGAGGGACGGGCCAGCAGCAGGGAAGCACTGGTCATCTCAAAGCTCTGTCAGAGGTGGAGAATGCTGTTTCGGGCTGCTCTCCAGGATCATTTTTAAAAAGGAACTTAATACCATATTTAACACTCTAAAAGTTTTAGCATGTAGAATCAGATGTTTGGGTGAAAGATGCACTGTGCAAAGGCATGAACCTCTGGAGAAACATGAATATGATTCTTCTTAAAAAAAAAAACAACAAACTTTTTGTAGGCAGCAGTGTTTCCTTTTCTTCGCTCAGCTCCCCTGTAACAGTCAGCAGGATGAGAGCAGGGAGCCAGCCCTGCGTGGCACTGCTCCCCTCGACCTGAAACCCGGCTGGATTTAGCGACTTCTTTAATCCCCGCGTTTTTCTCCCCACCAGCAGCTGCCCTGAGATGCTCAAAACCCCCAAGCATTTGTGTGTTTCCTTGTTACCTGTTTGTGCTTCGAACCAGCTGAAGGTTTTTCTGCTCTGGCAGGATCCAGGCTGACGTTCCGCCGTGTCGGGCGGATGGGCCTGGCTGCTGCAGGCTGGAGATGGCAGTTTGTATGCCATGAATAATTCTGTGGGTGGGTGCACAGAGAGGCAGGAGCAGCCCCTTCCCTCTGGTGAGCAAGGTGGGTGTTTGGAGGGGTCTCCCAGCCACAACTGTCCTGCCACAACTCCCGGGGTGCTGCTGGAGGCCCCCCCAAAGTGCCCTTTTGGTGGTTGGTGGCAGAGGGTGGGTGTCGGGACCTGCTCAGGGTTTTGTGACGGCGACTGGAAGGTCCTGTGGGCTCTCCCGTCACCCTACACCACACAAAGCTCCCAGTCTGGGCTTGGGCTTTGTCACCCTCCCCTAGGCAGGTGCTCTGTGGAATCCCTCTCCATGCTCAAAGGCTCCATCCTCACCTTCGCTGCTCTGGGTTTTGCTTTGGTTCAAGCTCACAGGAATTCCCTGGAGCCGGTGAGGGACTTTGGGGGGAGTGTTTGACGACATCTGTTGCTCGTGTTCTCCCGTTTCTTGGGGTAGGAAGATCCTCAGGTGACTTAACCAGATGGAGGAACGTCGTGGGGGCTGTGTGTAAACCAAGGTTATAGCCAGCTTTTGCCAGGGGACCTGCTGGAGTCACTAAACCCAGACAGAGGCTGCGAACGGGAAATGCGCTTTCTGACGAGATTAAATACTTACGAGATTAATACTCAGGAATTAAATACTCAAATCTCCCTTTCTGCTGACGTCGGGCAGGCAGCATGCCCGGCTGGGGATGGAATGGCTCATCCCACTTCCCTACCCGAAGCCGTGGCACCCGCTGTGGAGTTTACGCGTGGTTTTAGCATCGGTCGCTCCGTTTGTCTCACACCTCATCTTACACCTCCCCGACGCAGCGCGGCCCCCGCCTCGGCTGTGCCCCGGCTCCCAGATCTCCTGTGCTGGGACTCGGCCACTGCCCGGCAGCAAAACCTTGTCCCTGAAGTGCAGAGACCTCCTGGCTGCACCCCCAGCACCTCGCAGCAGGGTCGGGGGGGGGGGAGTTTCCCTTCCAACCCCCCATCACTTTACCCCGGAGGTTTTTAAAGTTTATTTTTGTGACTGTAAATTTGCCTACAAACAGCTCACTGAATCTTAACCTGTTTTCTCCCCTGACGTGTTTTAGCTCCGGAATTTATACTCGCATCCCGGCTTTTTAAAAGATCGTGTATGTAAATATATAATATATTTTTACATTGTTTATGCTTCGTTTGCACGCTTGGTGTAAGAGTCGGTGCTGCGGTGGGATGATGTAATTCACTGCCTGTATCCCGGTGGCTGCTTGTACTAAACCACACTATAACCTGTATGTGACACCACGGTAAGAGCAGAAATACAAGTCGTTTTTTCTCACCAAACCTGTGTCTGGAGTGATTTTTTTTTTTTTTTCCCCCTGTCAAATTGTTACGTTCCGCCTGTCTCCCTGCCCTCATGACAACCTTCAGGAGCAGCGCTCTTTGACGGGGGTGAATTGTACAAAACGTTTTGGGGTGATGTGGCCCCGCAGCATTTAACTCGCCCCCCCCTCAGGGACTGGAGCCACAGGCACCGCTGCCCGATGGGTGTTTTTCCCCTCACAAATCCCTTGGCCTGTTGTGATTTCAGCGCGAAGGACTTGTTGAGGGAGTGATGCTGTTGCCAGCCCCTTGTTATCTGAACGACGGCGTGTGTGTCATCTGCACCCCGAGGGGAAGAGAGGGGGGGGGGTGGCTGGATAATTCCTATGCTGGGACCCCCCCGATTTCCATCTCCTCTTGGCTGGTGGGCACGCTCTGAGGGAATCCTGCACCTCTGAGGCTTTTGGGACAGAGAAGGCAGTTTTGGGAAGCTCAGCAAGGAAGGGAAATGCGAGGTGGCACCTTCAGTCCAGCGCTGGCTGTTTGGTGACTTTCCGACCCAGCACCCGACACGGGGTGGCCCCCGCCGTGCCCCTGCCTGGGGCGATGCTGGTGGAGATCCCTCCTCCCCAAACCAACTCTGGGGTGACTCTTCCCCTCCCAGTCCCCCCTGGTGACACGAGTCCTGGTGCTGAGGCTGCCGCCAGGACCCTGTGTCCCCCTCCCCGTGCCCGTGTCCCCCTGGGTCAGCGCGGTTTGGGGCAGGGGGGAGCTCCAGGCATCTTGGTTCCTGATCATCCCGGCCCGTGAGCGCAGCAGCTGGTGGGAGGCCACGATAATTAGAACATTTGGAATAAATTTGGGAAGCGCTGGGCCGACGTCTCCCCTTTGATGCTTTTCCTGCAGGAGGGGAGAGTCCGAGGCTCCACAGCCGGCGTTGCTGCGTGGCGAGCTCTGCTTCCACCCTGATTATAAATGAAACGAGTTTGCCAGGCTCAGCCACAGCCGTGGTGGCACGACTGGCCGCCTTCTCTCAAGGGACCCAGAGCGGCTTTGCTGGGGGCTCCTGGGGCGAGAGGTCTCCCACGGGGAAAGGAGGGGGGGCAGGAGGGGTCCCCCCACCCCGCTGCCAGCAGCTTTTGGTGACAGCGTGGGATGGAGGATGTGGGCGATGGGGCTAAGCCTGGCTGAGCACCCATGGGTGCAGGGTGGGCAGTAGCCAGTGGAGGGCAGCAGCGGCCTGGCCATGGCTGGGGGGGGGAAGCTGGGACCCCCAAGGAGCAGGAGCTTCATCCCCGTGACACCCCACATGGGTGGGATGTGCGTCCCGCTGAGGGGGGTCCCAGTGCGGGGGGAAGAGCAGCCACCTCCCACCGTGGTCACCCCACTGTCCCCACCAAACCCCCCGTTTCCCCGCGGGCTGGGCCCTGCCGAAGCCCTCGTTCCCCACTGGTGCCCCGTGCCAGGGTGCTGGGAGGGTCTGGCTGGGTGGCCAGCTGCGGCCAGCAGCCACCGTGAGACATTTTGGGGCTCCCCTGCCCTCACCGGGGTCTGGCAGATGGCTCTGGCAGCCGCTCCTGCACCGGGAGGTCGCTCCTGGCACCATTCCCGGCTCCTTCATGATGGAATCCCAGCTGGTTTTGTTCTGCTGGAGCCACCGAGTCTCTGCTCTCGACGGGGAGGTGACGAGGGCTGACAGTGCCGGGGCCCGGGGACACCCCACGAACCCTTCCCCGGGCGAGCGCCGGAGGGGGCTTCTCCCACCAGGCCCAGGGCCTGAGCTCGGCGTTGCAGCAGGTCCAGCACCGTGTCACCGAGCTGCAGGGTGTCCCCTGGGCTGTGCCGGAGGTCACCGAGGAGCTCAGCGTGGTCCTGCAGCGCCTCTGGCCGGCTCTCCCGCCCCGGGATGCTCAGGGATGCGGGTACCCACTGGGCATCACCGATGCTGCTCCTGGGCGCTGGCACAGCGGGGTGTCACACGATGCTCTCCGGTCCTGCCACCTCCCTCGGTGGCTTCGCAGCCACAAAACCACCTCTTGGGCTGCGGGGGGCCAAAGCAGAGCAGGTACAAAGGGGAGGGATCGCCCTTCCCTGCCCATTCTGCAGTGGGGAGTCCAAGCCCCCCCGGCTGTTGTCTCCCACCCAGATTGAGGTGCAAACGCTGCGAGGTGGGTTCTGCAGCTCCGGTGAACCCAGACACCCGCCCCGGGCAGGAGAGGAAAAGCCTTCTCCCCACCCTGGGGAAGGTTTCCAGTTGCAGCCCTAAGCCGGGCAGGGCAGCACCCCAGCCCCAATTACCTGCTCGTCCCTTTGGTGCTGGGACCCGAGGGGACCCGAGGGCCCCCCCGGATCTAAAGGGCCAGAGCAACCCCTTGGGCAGCCTCGAGTCCATCGTCTGGCCGTGAGAGCCCTTCCCTACCTGGCAGCTCCCCACCCTCACAGCCACCCCAGCCCCATTCTCAGCACAGACCAGGCTTTCCCACCCAGCGGGGCGTTTTTTTCGTGCCGTCGCTCAGTTTTCCCCCGGAGGAGCAGCAGCGTTTGTGCCACCTGGCACTTGGCAGGAAGCCGTCAGAAATCGGGCAGCATCTGCTGGATTTGGCGGGTGTGTCGGGGCCTGCGGAGCACCTTTGGTGGTGGAAGGAGCCCGCCGCGAAGCACGGCCCCACCTGCAACCCACCGTCACACCGGGAGGGCAGGTCTCCACCAGGGACCCATGTCGGGGGTCTCGGCACCGTCCCACCGCTCGCCCGCCTCGGTGGCCCTGATCCCACCTTCCTGCCCGAGCAGCGCTTGAAGATATTCAAAGCAACATTAACAAAAACAACAGATTTTTTGCGTTTTAGCAATCTGCTTTCAAGATGTGGGGAGGACGGAAGCGGCGTTTCAAAGGCTTTGAGTGCTGCAACCCCGCCAGGCGCAGAGGCCTCCGCAGATGAGCCTCGCTGGAGCTGCTGAACATGGGCCTTCAAAGATGGCTTTGAGTGGAGAAGGACACTCGGTGCGTCTGTAAATCTCGGCTGTCTGTCCTCAAAGCGGGCTCTGGGGCCGTGCTTAGGGGTGTCCAACATATGGGGCAGAGCCTGGGGCTCCGCGCAGCCGGGGCAAAGAGGTTCTTCAGCCATCCCTGAGGTGGCCGTGGATGGTCCCTAAGCGTGGCTGGGCTGGGAGCATCGTGCTGGGAGGGTCAGAGGTCTGCCTGGGTGCTGGTCCGGGCTCCCTTGGGGATGTCCCCCCACCCAGCTTGACATGGGGGTCTCATCCTGCCGCTTGGCCAAAGCTGTTCCCGCAGGACCCGTCACCTGGCGGTGCTGGAGCTGAGAAGGGGAATCTGCTGCGGCACAGAGCGAGGGCGAGGGGGCCGTTTTACAAGCCCTGCAGGCAGGGGGGGGACCTCAGCCACGCTCGGCAGCAGCCCTCCGCGGGGCCGCCCCGTAGATCCGCCGTTTGCCACGAGCGTGGTCCCCAGCCCTGCAGCAGAGCCGGCCCGCCCTGCGAGGAGGGAGCCGACTCAGCACATATTTGCTCTTTGTTTACTGGCTGTTGCTTGTAAAAAAAAAAAAAAAGAAAAAGAAAAAAAAAATCCCCCAAATACCATTTTAATAACTGCAGCCCTTGCACGCAAGGCCCTGATTGGAGCAGGAGGGAGCTGTGTGCCATCGTGCGCTGGCTGGAGCGAGATGTCACGGGGATGAGGCGTTTTTGGACACGAGTGGTGGTTGGGGTAGTGCTGGGTGGGGGCCAAAAGAGCTGGAGGCAGCAGGTGTGGGGTAGCCCTGGGCATGGGACAGCGCTGGATGTGATGGCTGGAGGGTGACAGTGGGTGGGGTCACCTGGGCGTGGGGGTTGGCATGGCCAGTGTGGGTTAAAAGCGTAAAATCAGGCTGGAAGGGACCTGCTGGCAGTCTTTGGTCTGGCATCTTCCTCACGGCAGCAACAACTGGAAGGTCCCAGCGGTGCAGCCCAGAATCCAGCCCCAACCCTGCGTGTGGCTCCGGGTCTGGAGGGGGTGGAGGGGACACAGGACAAGAGCGTGGCAAGGAAGAGTCCCTGCCTCAGAGCTCTTTGCTGGAGCGAGGAACCCCAGAAGTGGCTCCTTGCTTCCAAGTGCCGTAATCTCAAGCCGGACGGGTGCTGGACTCACGGACACGAGCCCCAGCCAGATCATCCTGGTCATCATCTTCAGCGTTAGGTCCTGCCAGGCGGATGCTCTTCCCAAGGGAATTCGTGGTCCTGCCTTGTGCTTCTCACAAGCCAGCGGGCAGAGGTGGGTTTTGGTAAGAGCTAACAATGGGATTAAAAGTCCCCAGCTGAGCTGATTTAGCGCTGGAGTGGGGGGGGGGGGGGGGGGGGGGGGGGGGGTTGAGCATCACACACAGAACTGGGAGTAGTTATTTTTAGGACATCTTTCAGTTTGGAGACCAACCAAGTGAGTAAAACGGTTCAATATGGTTCCAATATTTAACAAGGAGGCTGAAAATTGCCAGCTTGAAGTGGAGTATCTAGGAAGAGCCTTTGAGACAAGATTTTTATGGAGATGCGATGATGTGCAGCCAGAAGGAGCCAAACCACAGTTTTTGCAAAGAGGTTATCGGATGGTCCTGGCACCTCCGTGGGGGTTACTCTGCAGGTTGGAGCTGGCTGGGGGGCTCTGGTGCTCTCCTGGGACAGCCCACACCGCAGGTTGGAGCTGAGCGGGGCTGGCAGCGGCTTTCCACGGAAGGGTTGTTGCTTAATTTTCCTCCTAAAGCAGGAACGAAAGGTCTAAAAAGCCAAGAATGAGCTGAAATAATCATTGCGGAGTCAAACACGGCTTCAGACAAAAAGGCAAGAGAGGCGAAGGGTGGCCTTCCCCTCCTCCCGCAAGCGCTTGGGCTGTGAGAGCTTCCACCAGATCCTGTTTATTCCACGCCTGATGTGGCTGGAAACATCTCGCCGAGCCAGCGCCGTGCCAGGACATGTCTCTTGGCCCCCAGCTCCCTGACACAGTTCAGTGGTTTAAAGGCCTTGGGGGCGGGGGG